GCCCTCCTAAAGAATGCTGCTGCCCCCCTGAAAAATGCCGCACTAGGCAAAGGCCTTGTTTGCTTTGTGGTAAATATACCCCTGAGGTACAGGATGATGTGTGATAGGGCAGGGATCAATCAACAGATCCAGGCTGAACATCACTGACCTGAATCTGTTGATTGATCTTTTGGGCACCAAATCACGGCACCTTCGGGTCGGTAGGCAAGCGCGCCCCCCCGGCCCGTGATCATGGCGGGAGTGCGAATCGTATATGTGATTTTGCAAACAGAGTCCGCCCTGTAACAGTATCACTGCTATAGGGCAGACCTTAAGCGGTTAAAAAGGTATGTAGTTTGTCACCGTTGCATGGGGCCATGCACAGTTTTAAAGCATGTCATGTTTGGTATCTATTTACTCAGCATACCATCTATATATTTTACCAAACAATATACTGTGTTTTTGTGCATTAAAATTAAAAAATGTGTAAAAAATTTGCATTTGGAAAATGGCTGTGCAAGTATGAGATATAAAAAATTGCAACACGGAGGGAGGAGTCTGAACATGGCAGTGAGGGAGAGCTCGATGTGAGAGCTCTCCTTTAGCCAGTAACCAATGTCTCGGGTGACCTGCCAAAAATATTCGAGAGATTGCCCGCAGACAGTAAAGAGACTTGCCTGTAAGAGGCGGGGTCTGGAGAGAGCTGCAGAGTGCAGAGGTCGTGGGATGAGCCGTGGGGAGAGGAGGACGGAGCTCCAGGCAAACACCGCAGCGGGACGGAGGTGAATCCCATCTTTGGAGCGGAGAGGATGTGGAGAGGACCACGTGACCGGCTGCAAAGGAGTACTGGAAAGGGGAGAAGCCGGCCGGCGTTTCACAGGTGGAGGAGGACACCGGCTCTCCCTTCAAGTAAACGGGGCTTGTGCTAGTTCCCCCAGCCACGCAGGACTAGGGAAAGAAAGGACCCAGTGTGGGGAATCTCCTCCTAAAAGAACATTGGCATATAAAGTAAAGGGGCTGTGGGAATCACAGACCCCGAAGGAAGAGCTTGAAGCCGGCCTGCATCAAAGAGAAGACAACAGGAGGGTGAGTGAGAGCTGCAAGGCTTACTTAGGGGAAGATCTCACAGGGGGTCCAAAAGAAAAAGAGGACAGAAGTAATATAACACAAGCCCATGGAGATATAGAAAACTGGCAGAGGGGGACTAAAAGTAACAAACGGGACAATAAAAGAAGAGGAAATTCCCCCTTACCCTCCCACAGAACTTGGATAAGAGAATTAAATTGTTTAGCGGCATGAAAAATAAAGTGGCTAAAGGAAGTGGGCCCAAGGTTCCCTAACAGGTCCAATAAAAAATATATACCCCCGCAGGGAAATCTGACCCAGAAAGACAACAAGGAATAAGTGAGAGGAGTGAGCTGTGGAAATCAGTTTGGAAGACAGTCCGAGACTATCCCTGGGAATGGCTAATAGTGGTCAACAAGTAAAAGAAAGAGTGGTGGAGGAAGAACAAGATAACGACCTACAGATGCCAAATACAAAAGAAATGTTTAAAGGTCTTGAAGAATCACTAAAACAAGAGATGGAAATAATACAGAAAGATTGGGGGCAAATGCTAACAAGGTTGCCATAAGGTTGACAATCAGCATAAAGAGAGGAGATATAACATGTAGAGAGAATCCTAGGGAAAGAAAGAATGAAAAAATATATAGTAATGGAAGAGGTTAACTTTATGACTTATGATTTTTATTCTTAAAGGGGAAACTGCAAGAGGTAGAATGTACATTGGCAGATATATATTGCCCTAATAAAAAACCCTAATAAAAAACCCTGAGGTCTATCTAAAGAACATATTGAAAAAGCTATTAGATTTTAAAAAAGGTGAATAAATTGTGGCAGGAGATTTTTAACTGTTACATGGAGCCACAGATGGATACGACGTCACATGTGCTGAGGGAGGGAAATAAATATTTGAAAGTATTAAGGAAAAGAATACAATATTGTCAATTGGTGGATAGTTGGAGAATTAAAAAATCTGAATGATAGAGACTATACATTCTATTCTCATGCACATGACACATACTCAAGATTGAATTATATATTGCTAGATCACAGACTTGTGGAGTCTCTGGTGAAAGCAAAGATAGAAGTTATAATACTATCGGACCATGCACCTGTCACAATGAGGTTGATATGGGGAAGGGAACATAAAAAGATAAACACTTGGAGGTTAAATGAGACACTTCTTCAGGATCAGGAGATGGAACAGACAATTAAAAGAGAAATAGAATGGGGGGGGGGCCGGCCGCGGAAGGAGATGGCAACTCAGTAGGAGAGCTCCCAGAGCCGCCGAGATCCGCAGCCCAGCTGAGCGACGAGTGACAGCGGGGAGACCCGCCACCACCACAGTAAGCCCTCAGAAAGAGGGGGGCTTTGGGGAGGCACGATGGGGAAGAGGAAAAATAAAGAGGAGCCCGCAAATTGACGGAGTTGTTCACTTCGGCGGGAGACCCCTCCCCTCAAGATGGCGCAGTCTCTGTCCCTCTCCTGGGCTTCAGGGACATGTGAGGGGGATGGCAGTAATTTTCCACTCCACACAGTCCAGCACAGACTGCAGGCTATGCACAGTCTTCTACAAATAGCCCGCAGAAACACAGGCAACGCTGCTCTCCAGAGGTACAGCCTGGGGGTGAACATCTGCAGAATGCATCACTACATAATTCCACTACTGAGTTTGTGGCACATCTGGAGGATTACCCTGCAGAATCCTTGCCCCTTATGACTGCAGTAATGAAAGATATGTTAATTACACTTAAAGGCTCCTTGCATAAAGATATGATTGGCTTTGTATCGCAAGTTAACAAGGATATTGAATGTATGGGAGAACGGGTATCACACGTGGAAACTAAAAGGGGGGAACTCGCTAAAGCTCACAACGAATTAGTTGACGCACATAATGAAGCAGAAGATGACTTAACAGCACTAAAAGCAAAAATGGCGGATCTAGAGGACCGATCCCACAGGAATAATATTAAATTCAGGGGTATTGGCGAAAGTATCTGTAATGCAGATCTACGCAAATATATTCAACAAATGATTTCCGCTCTGCTACCTCATACTCCGAATAGAGAAGTAGTAGTGGACAGGGCCCACAGACTGCCAAAATCCTCCTTTCTTCCGGCTCATACCCCAAGAGACACTATAGCGAGAATCCACTTTTACCACGTTAAAGAGGAACTCATGCTATTTGCTCGAAAAAACAAACCCGCTCCCAAACCCCTATACTGGGATCTCCTTATTCACTGTCCTTTCTCAACATACCATACTAGCCCACTAAAAATTACTATCTTTCACGAAACCATGATATCAAATACCAATGGGGCTTCCCTACCAAACTGCTTATCTCTAAAGACAACCGTGTAATAACGGTAAAATCTGAAGTGGAAGGATTCCAATTAGCTAGAAAGTGGGGCCTCCTGCCGGCAGATGATGAATCAACTCCTGTCAAAGCCTCTCCCAGAAAAATATCTCCTGACTGGGATCAAGTAGTGGGATGAAATACCACGCTGTGCATTCTTCCGTGCCTCCTAATCCCTTGTTGCCTACCCGCTGTACACCTGGACAGCCATTACTAAGCTGCGCCTCTCAGCATTGAACCCCCACCCGTTGGAGTGATTAAGTTCACACAAAGTTTCTCGTTGAATGTTATTTTTGTTTTCTCTAATTTTTTTTCTTCTTTTTTGCTAACTTCCCTCTTACAGAGTACTGGAATTGACCAATTATGGGAACACAACATATTGCTTTTCTCCCGCTATATGAAGAAACAAATCTTCACTCCTCGTTGGACCTCTACGGAAACTGTAAGCCTATCCACCTGGATCACCTCTTTCATTATACAATTCTTAATTATACAACTTGAGAGCATCCCTGCATCATTTACCCCACATCCACCATGGTTCTAAAAATAGTATCTATGAACGCTCACCGCCTCAATATCCCGTTTAAACGCCATTCCATGTGGAGAGAAGCACAACGGTTGGCCAGTGATGTTATTTGTGTCCAAGAAACACATTTTGCCTCTACTAAAGCTCCACACTGCTCACATCGTTCATTCCCACATGTATATACGTCTAACGGCCCGAATAAGAAATGTGGCGTTCTCATAGCCATTCGTAATTCTGTCACATTTTCGTTGTTGTCCCAAGAATCTGATAGCAAAGGTAGATACTTAATTATTGTCTGTGAAATCAACATCACTTATACCATTGTCAATCTATATGCCCCCAATGTTCATCAGATCCACTTCTTCAATTCTTTGCGGAAAAGGTAGCAAAAATCCAGAAGGGATTCCTACTTTTTTGTGGAGATTTTAACGCTATCATTCTGTTAGGAATGGACTGGCCAGCAATGGTGGGACTCACCTGCCTTTTGATCTGCAGTACCAGGGCTGGCCAGCGGGTGTTCCCAGCAATCAGAGACTCAACTCTGCAGCCAGCTAACACCTGTAACTGATGATGCTGGGGTATTTAAGGGATGGCCAGACCCACAGACTCTGCCTTGGTGTTGTGTTTGTCCTGGGCCCTGTATCTGTCCTGCATCCTGTTTCTGTTCCTTTGCTGACTTCTCCTGCTCTGATCCTGGCTTGTGACCCTGACCATCCCTCTGTCTGACCCTCTGTACTACGCTGCTTGCTACCTGTTCTGATCCCTGGCTTGTGACCCGGACCATCCCTCTGCCTGACCCTCTGTACTATGCTGCTTGCTACCTGCTGAACCTGGCCTGTGACCCCGACCATTCTCCGCTTGCTCCCCCTGTACCTACCTGCCCAATTGATATTGACCCGGCCTGCCTGACGACGCTTGCTTGTATGTACTGTTATCTGTGGGTGGTTTGGTTTGTTTTGTTTGCACTGTATTATGTTTTAGTATTGCACTGCGTTTATGTTTGTACTGTTAGTGTTAATAAATTATATTGTTTATAACATATCTGAGGTCTGCGTTTCCCTGCTTCAGTCACACACCTCTGGTCATACCTGGGAGCCCTGACATTACACCAAGGCCAATCCTGACCAGAAGTGGCTGCACAGGGAAGCCATCTTGGCTTGTTGATGGGAAGGATGGATCTTGATGAGGTTGAGTATTTATATCTGCTAGTGTTTGATGACAGGGAGTATGCTTATCAGACTCTGAAGGAGTATACCCGGGATGAATTGCTAGAATGTATACGGCTTGCTCATGTTCTAGTAGATCAGGGCACAGTGTTCTCTGAGGTGCAGCCATTGATTGAGGTTTGTGCAGAGTTGGTTTCATCTGGTTCCCCCGAATGCAGGGATGAATTTTTGCCACCATTTAGTGCAGACCAGGTAGAGTCCCTGGTGTGGTTATTAGAGGATGATGTGGGTTACTTTCTGGAGCGTTATTCCACATGTTCACCACAGACACTAAGAGATTGTATAAACGCAGTGCAGTCATTGACCAGACAGACTTTGTGTAAGCTCAGCTTTGTTCAACCCCTACTGCAGACATGGACAGATTTGTTGCACCCAGCCTCAGTCAGCTTACAAAGACCCAGTCCCTGCTTCTAACTCTACTCCTGTATTCCCACCACCAGCTCCTCCAGTTACAGCCCAGTATACTTAGCTATCTACCGCATGTCAGTACCCTGTTCCCACTCGCTGCACCTATCCTGCCTTTAACCCTGTAAAAAAGCCCTCTGTAGCAACTGCTCCCTCTCCTGTTCCATCCTCCAGTTCTTCTCTGTCTCCAGCTGCTCCATTCGTTTGCAGACCTGCGTTTACTTGCAGTGCTCCAGTAGTTAAAAACCAGAAAAAAGCGAAAATTCTTTCCAACCAATACCATCCTGCCAGTATCCAAACCGGTGAACCTGCCTTCCGTGGTTCAGACTGATGCCTGTACGCAGCCTGATGCCTCTACTCGGCCTGAAGCCTCTACTCGGCCTGAAACCTCTACGCGGCCTGAAGCCTCTACTCGCGGCCTGAAGCCTCTACTCGGCCTGATGCCTGTACTCGGCCTGATGCCCCTGATGCCTGATACTCGGGCCTGATGCCTGTACTCGGCCTGAAGCCTCTACTCGGCCTGAAGCCTCTACTCGGCCTAATGCCTCTACCCAGCATGATGAACTGATCCAGCCTGACGATCCTATTAGGCCAGTTGACTCGATGCCCGCGCTGTTGATCCAGATGATCCGGTACCTGATCCGGTGCCCGCTGTCGTGCCAATTGACTCAGAGCCCGCTGTCGTACCTGGTGACTTGGTGCCCACTGCCTTGCCAGATGACGCGGTGCCCGCTGGCAAGCCAAATGACCTGATGCCTGGTGACCTAGTGTCCGCTGTCATACCTGATGACTCGATGCCCGCTGTCGAGCCAGACAATCCGGTACCTGATGACCCGGTGCCCACTGTCGGGCCTGTTGACTCGGAGACCACTGCCTTGCCAGATGACGCGGTGCCCGCTGTCGAGCCAAATGACCTGATGCCTGGTGACCCGATGCCCGCTGTCCAGCCAGACGATTCAATGTCTGCCCCAGTGCCCGCGGTCATGCCAGTTGACTCGGAGCCCACTGCCTTGCCAGATGACGCGGTGCTCGCTGTCGAGCCAAATGACTTGATGCCTGGTGACCCGATGCCTGCTGTCCAGTCAGACGATCCAATGTCTGACCCAGTGCCCGCGGTCCATACCAGTTGACTCGGAGCCCACTGCCTTGCCAGATGACGCGGTGCCCGCTGTTGAGCCAAATGACCTGATGCCTGGTGACCCCGATGCCCGCTGTCCAGCCAGACCATCCAATGTCTGACCCAGTGCCTGCGGTCATACCAGTTGACTCGGAGCCCACTGTCGTGCCTGGTGACTCGCGGCGCCCGCCGCTCCGCCTGGGGGCCCCGTAGAGACCTGTTGCTCCGCTTGGGGGGGTCCATGCGCCCGCCGCTCCGCCTGGGGGGATCCGGCCAGACGCCGCCAAAGTCTGGGGGCCTTTTTTTAGACCTGTCGCTCCGCCTGAGGGCCCCGAGACCACTGTCGCTCCCGCCTGGGGGACCTCCGGGCGCCACGCCGCTCCGCTTGAGGGCCCGAGACCTGTCGCTCCTCATGGGGGTCCGGCGGCCCGCCGCTCCGCCTGAGGGCCCGAGGGACCTGTCGCCCCACCGGGGGTCCGGGGCGCCCGCCGCTCCGCCTGAGGGGCCCGAGACCTGTCGCTCCACCTGGGGTCCGGCGCCCGTCCGCTCCGCCTGAGGGCCCGAGACCCTGCTGCTTGCTAGACTGCGCTCCCCGGGGGCCCGGTGCCTGCTGCTCCGCCCGGGGGCCCGGTGCCTGCTGCTCCTCGCCCGGGGGGCCCGGTGCCTGCTGCTCCGCCCGGGGGCCCGGTGCCTGCCGCCCCGCCCGGGGCCCGGTGCCCTTCCCCCCGCCCGGGGGCCCGGCGCCTGCCGCCCCCCCGCCTGGGGCCCGGTGCCCGCCGCCCCGCCCTGGGGGTCCGGTGCCCCGCCCCGCCCTGGGGGCCCGGTGCCTGCCGCTCCGCCCGGGGCCCCGGTGCCTGCCGCTCCGCCTGGTGGCCCCGCTGCCTGCTGCTTCGCCTGGTAATCCGATGTGCCTCTGCTGACGGAGTCCTGCCCGATGTGCCTCTGCCCGGAGTCCTGCCCGATGTGCCTCTGCCCGGAGTCCTGCCCGATGTGCCTCTGCCCGGTGTGCCTCTGCCCGGAGTCCTGCCCCCGATGTGCCTCTGCCCGGAGTCCTGCCCGATGTGCCTCTGCCCGATGTGCCTCTGCCCGATGTGCCTCTGCCCGGTGTGCCTCTGCCCGGAGTCCAGCCCGGTGTGCCGCTGCCCGGAGTCCTGCCCGGTGTGCCAGTCTTTGATATCCCGCCAGTTGCCAGACCCGGGCGGTGGAACATTTTGCCCAGCTAGGACTGTTTGGAGCGTCCTGAGGCCGCTCCTTGAGGGGGGGGAACTGTTAGGAATGGACTGGCCAGCAATGGTGGGACTCACCTGCCTTTTGATCTGCAGTACCAGGGCTGGCCAGCGGGTGTTCCCAGCAATCAGAGACTCAACTCTGCAGCCAGCTAACACCTGTAACTGATGATGCTGGGGTATTTAAGGGATGGCCAGACCCACAGACTCTGCCTTGGTGTTGTGTTTGTCCTGGGCCCTGTATCTGTCCTGCATCCTGTTTCTGTTCCTTTGCTGACTTCTCCTGCTCTGATCCTGGCTTGTGACCCTGACCATCCCTCTGTCTGACCCTCTGTACTACGCTGCTTGCTACCTGTTCTGATCCCTGGCTTGTGACCCGGACCATCCCTCTGCCTGACCCTCTGTACTATGCTGCTTGCTACCTGCTGAACCTGGCCTGTGACCCCGACCATTCTCCGCTTGCTCCCCCTGTACCTACCTGCCCAATTGATATTGACCCGGCCTGCCTGACGACGCTTGCTTGTATGTACTGTTATCTGTGGGTGGTTTGGTTTGTTTGCACTGTATTATGTTTTAGTATTGCACTGCGTTTATGTTTGTACTGTTAGTGTTAATAAATTATATTGTTTATAACATATCTGAGGTCTGCGTTTCCCCTGCTTCAGTCACACACCTCTGGTCATACCTGGGAGCCCTGACACATTCATACCTCCTTGGACGTCTCACACTCTTCTCGCAGACTAATACATTCTCTCGCTAATGTGCTTTCCGAGGCTAATCTGTATGACCCCTGAAGATGCTTACACGCTTCTGAAAGGGACTATACGCATTACTCTCCGCACCCGCACACACAATTCCTACTCAAGAATTAGCTTCTTTTTGACGGATATTCAATTATTACAAAATATTTCCAGTGCAGAAATTCATCCTATGACGTGGTCGGATCACACACCTATTTTTCTGAATATCGAGGAATCCTTAAAATTTTCACCAGTATTTTTGTGGCGTAATAATGTCTCTATGTATTATAACCCTGCTTTTCATTCCACTCTTACCACAGCTTTACAGGAATTTTTTTATGTCCCCGGAAAACCACTAAGCAACCTGCACTCCCTCATTCATTCCACTCTGTACCACTCATCATCGGCTTACCTCACGACAGGCTAAATCCTTGCTTCAGTCTATCTTGAATGCTGCGGCCAGCTCATTAACTAAGGCTTCCGATCCGCCACCCCTCTCTGCCAATCCCTCCAAAGGCTTCCGATTGCCCAACGGATAAAATTCAAAATACTAACATTGACTTATAAAGCTGTTCATAATACTTCCCCAAACTACATCACCGATCTGGTATCCAAATAGCACCCAAAATGTACTCTCCGCTCCTCACAAGATCTCCTACTCTCTACATCCCTGGTCTCCTCCTCCATGCCCATCTCCAGGACTTCTCCAGGGCTTACCCCATCCTATGGAACTCCCTACCCCAATCCATCAGACTACCACCTACTCTCCTCACCTTTAGGCGCACCCTGAAAACCTCTCTCTTCAGGGAAGCCTACCCCGCCCTCAGCTAATTGCTGAACTCCTCCACTCTTCCTACCACTCCATCCCCCACAGCTATTTCCTCCTGTACCACTATCCCCTCCCTCCTAGATGGTAAGCTCCAAGGAGCAGGGCCCTCTAACCCCTCGTGTATTGAATCGTATTGTTACTGTACTGTCTCCCATTATAATGTTATAATGTACAGCGCTGAGCAAACTGTTGGCATATATAAATCCTGTATAATAATACTAATAAAGATCTACGGGCCCTACTTCTGGCCAGATCAGCTTCACCTAAAATATTAACCACATTTTTACCATCTATTACCGCAACATTGGAAGCTTGGAAAATAGGATTGAACTTATGCCCAATTCCTCTCCTAAACTTCACCTTAATATCCCAATCTCTGCATATGAACACCTTATCCCAAACCTTAACACTAAACCATTAAGGGACCTAGGATACGGTACATTTGCGGAAATAAGACAACCCATTCTGAGTAAAAGTATGCACCCTTTCCTGCAGATATGGGGATTCCATGGTACTGGCTTAAAGACATGGCTGGAGATAGACTCCAAGCTATGGCACATCATAACAAACCCTATTAGAATGAATAAAGGAATTTCTAAGTTTTATAAACTTTTACATTATGACCGTGATCTTTCCACAGTACATAGCATAGGTCGGTGGGAAAGGCATTTACAAAGATCCTTTACAAGAGAGGAGTGGGAGAATGCCTTGAACAGTAATTTGAGTATTTCTAAGTGTACTAATCACTGGGATTGCTCCCTGAAAATAATGCATCGTAGCTACTTTACCTATATAAATTATCTAAAATGTACCCTAACACATCACCATTATGTTGGAGAAATTGTGGCGGAGAGGGGAACATACTTCACATTTTGTGGAAGTGTCCTTGTTTGCAATTATTCTGGCGG